GCTGCACTTAGATGGATGCAGCGTTGTACCCAGCGACTGCACCGGACGTAATAAACTCTTATACCGCACGTTTTGCAGGGTATAAGGAAGAGATATTAAACAACCAATAGCGAAATTGTGAGGGAGCAATTACTTCTAACTTCTAATTCCCAAACTTATATTAGTTACACTATTTAACACTGAATTAACTAGTTATTTTGGCATTTTTATTGATCAGCGATCGTAAAATTAGTGCTTGTGATATGCTTGTCCAGGTTTGAGTCACTTGTTATCAAATAACGTCTTCCGAAACAGAACTGGGAATAATAAAATCCTTCGATATCAATATTGTACTAACACAAGCGTCTTAGCTTAAAAAGCGAGCCAATAGAAAGCCGCTCAGAATAAGGCGGATAGTCATAACTCATCCACAATAAATAATAAAGATACGTTAAAGTATTCGTTAGGGCTGCGAAAAAGTTTTGCTTAATAAATTATTAGGTAAAAGCAATTATTAGGTCCATCGTATAGTTCCGACTGTGCTGCACTTAGCAAATATGCTGCACTTAGATGGATGCAGCGCTACACCCAGGGACTGCGCCGGACCTAACAAACTCTTATACCGCACGTTTTGCAGGGTATAAGGAAGAGATATTAAACAACCAATAGCGAAATTGTGAGGGAGCAATTACTTCTAACTTCTAATTCCCAAACTTGCATTAGTTACACTACTTAACACTGAATTAATTAGTTATTTTGGGATTTTCACTGATCAGGAGTCGTAAATTTACTGATTGCGTTTTGCTTGTCCAGGTCTAAGTCAGTTGTTATCAAAGGCTATCAATAGAGGGTTCAGTCTGTTTTAGTTACATTTTTTCACAGGACATGGTTTGCCCAAAGTGGCTTTTAAAAGTTTGCCTACATGTTAGCCTACATCAAGTTAATTTTTAAAGTCCCATTCTCCAAACAAAACTAAATACAACCTGCACATTGTTGGGAAGGCTATTAATAGTGGATTCAGTCTGTTTTAGTTTCATTTTTTCACAGGACATGGTTTGCCCACAGTAACTACGCAAAATTTCGCTTTATCAACCTCATTTTTGACAGTGTAAAAATGTTGTCCTTTCGAATATTAATTAATTTACGTAAAGTCAAGTTTTGTTGATACTATTTTGCAAAAAAATTCTGGAAAAGTTCTATTTTACTTGTATTTTAAATTTTGAATTGAATCCCTGCAAGACTTCCTTTAACAGAATTCTGTTAACGGCTTTACAGAGCTCTGCAAAAGAATTTTGGTTTGTTCCTTTGCTAGTTACATTTAAATATAACTTCACACTCTTCTATATAATATATATTATTATTAAATATTATTATATATATTAGCATATGACATATATTAAGTATGTAATCCTCAATATGATGAGAAACAAAGACAAAAATTATATAAAATTATGTAAGAAAAGTTCATGGCGACGTGATTATATGTGATTATATAAAATTATATAAGAAGAGTTCGCGAAAATGCGATTATGGCGATTATGTAAAATTACGGAAAAACCGTTTCAAAATTTCTAAATCGATTCTTTTCGGCTAAATTTATTTGAAAAAGTTTTCATGTCTTCATTCTAAAGTAAATCCTTCAGTGCATTGGTGCAAAAAGAAATTGTGTTTAAGTTTTAATATATTTTCATAAATAAATTATTATTTCATTACATTTTTATAATAAATTCTAATACATTGTCATGGATATAAGCAGTGACCTGTTACGTTTGATCTATTTGAAATACGTTTCAATATTCGGAAAATTTGAAAAAATTAAGTTTACAAAACGCGATGACGATTTAAAAAAGTTTTTTGATACGTTTAATAACGTAATTAAAAAATTCGGCCTTTCACATAAACTTCTTTTAGCAGATAAATTGAAAAGTAGGAAAAGGTTAGATCAGCTGATAAAAAAAATGGTATGTGTTACTTTGCAATTTTTATTATATTTTTATATATATTATTATATTTTATTATATTACGATAATATTGTACTTTTGTATGCAATTTACCGTCGGCAAGAGCTGTTTATTTTGAAAAGGGGGCAAGTCCATTCCTTGTTGTGTTACATAATGCACGTTCATTATCCAACAGTGAATAAAGTGCTAAAAAAATGATGGTTATCTTATATACAAACAGACTTGCTTCACTTTCAAAATTAATGATTTATTATTATCGTTATTTTTTTTGTATTTTTATTTGTATCAACCTTTTTTTTTAATACTAAAAGCAAAATGTGATTTAATTTTATACAACTACATATACCTCTCACTGTACGATGGGGTATACTTATTTTGTTTTTTCCCATAATATATGTAACACCCAAAAAAAATCTTCAGAGACCCTGCAAAGTATATATATTCTTGATCTGCGTAAAATTCTGAGTTGATTTAGCCATATCCGTCCATCTTTATGTCTGTGTGCTGTTTGTTTCTGGTACTCTCCTGGTCGCAAAAATAAAGTTATCAATTTCAAATTTGATAGAAACATTAGAAATTTCTGCATGCAGTTTTGTGTTGAAAGAGCAGATGCGCGTGAACTGAATGCAATTCGGTTTTTTTTAACAAAAATTTTTGGATTTTTGCTCGTTACTCGGAAATTATTAATGTTAGTACCTTGAAATTTTCTACATTAACTTTGCGAAGAACTCTACTCCTTACACACAAAAACGGAAAAAAATCAGCCATGCTCACAACAAGTTACAAGTGATTAAACTTATGTTTATCACTTTTTTGGAGAATATAAATTTCTTACTTATTTTTTATTCGTTCTAATTATTAAATTAATTTGTTCGTGCACAAGCAATGAGTTTGTTAGTATAATATTAACATTGCTTCTCAAGCTGCCTATGTTATGAAAAGCAATTTTCAAAGTCCCATAAAAAGATGCACAGAAATTACTTTCATGATATTTTTGTTTTACTCTCATGATACTTTTATTTTACTTTCATAATAGCCCGCATTATGTTAAGTATGGAAATTTTCAAAGTCCCATAAAAAAACTCTTTGGGCAAAACTTAATATAACCTGCACATCGTTGGAAAGGCTATTAATAGAGGATTAATTCT